TCTGTGGCCCTATGTAGAATGTCCTATCCCAGCTACCGATTCAAAAATGGCCTATATCGGCACATTTTCAAGCGATATAGGGCGTTTTTCAATCAAATTCTGAAATAGGGTGTTCTTCAATCAAATTATAAAGTAGGGCGTTCTTGAAAAGTTTTCTAAGGTAGGGCGTTTTCGAACTTGCTACCGAGAGGCGAAGTATCTAGGAGTAACTCTGAACAAAAAGTTCAATTGGAACTCACATTTCTCGAATGTTACCAACAAGGCTACAAAGGCGTTTTACGCCTGTCAGAGACTTCGTGGTAAGACTTAGGGAATATCACTCAAGCTAACGTATTGGTCTATCAATACGGCAGTAAAAACCGTTGTTATATATGCGGCACTGGCCTGGTGACCAAAAGCTAAGCAAGTAAATGCGGGTGCCACCTTAGGTTTTTGTTGGATTTGGTAGGAAATTTTGGTAGGTACAAAAATTTGTCCGTAGCAATACTTTTCTAGGCTCTCTTTTATTTAGTGACCTTGACGAATTGGAAAATGTAATTCTTAGATGTCTGACGAGTTTCGTTATGGATTTAAAATGGTTCAGCAAGGCGTAGTGGAAAAACTCTAAGTCGCCACAATAAGAATAATCCAGCTCTTGTAACTTGGTTTTTAATGTTTGGAACTTGAGAATTATATATTTTCCCAAGTTAAATAGCCAAGAATGAAACTTGCGTAGCTAACTAAGAGCTCATGGTAGTAATACCCACTCTACTTGAAGCTAAATCCTGAGCTTGGTTGGTTTGTTATAGTGCTTCTTGGTAGATGTCTTGGATTCGATAAGCGTTTTTTTTTTGCAATTTAGATGCATTTCTCGTGGGAATATTTTGGCTATGTGCAGCCTACGTTACTTGGTCGAGGCATCTTGATTCTCTAAATAATCCCTCCGTTTCACTTATGCTAGCTTCTGATAGGTCAGCTGGTTGTGTTACTAAGTGACTGCTTAATATTTTATACATAACTTATATTCCAAAGACCTGGAAGTTCTCGTTGACGATTTGCTTTACCTTTTCTGGACATGGTATCTGTGGCCGCACTGAATTTTCCAGCTTTTTTTGAAACCACCTTGTATGCAAATCCCAACGGGTCTTGGTCCACGCTGTTGCATAGACTCTAGGAGCATTTTTAGAAGGAGGTTTGGTTGCTTTACCTTGCCACGATGTATCTAACTAGATACATACATATGTATGGCAATGCATATATATACGTAAAAGTGCATTAAAACTCTTACCCAACAAGTTGAATGTAAGCATTTTTGCTGGTGCATAATTCCCAAAGACTGC